GTTTATGTTAGTATATATTCAGTATATGTGCGCAGTTGGAATTCCTTAATTCCTTAATCCACGCACCTGTTAGGTGGTATATTTTTTGTTTATGTGAGTATATATTCAGTATATGTTGCAATGAAAAACATGTCTTCCATCAAAAAATTATGTCTTCCTTTTTTTTTTTTAACTTTTATACATAAAAGTATATATATAGTTTATAAACATAATATAACATGTTACTTAATATAAACCATTCATATACATAACAAAAAAAAAATCAGTTTATGTTGAATATAAATTAATTTTATACATAAAAATTATGTCTCGCGATAAATTTATTTATCATGTACCGAAAATATACTAAATATAAACCATACATATACACAGAAAAAAAACTCGCGATAAATTTCTTTATCATATACCGAAAATATACTAAATATAAACCATACATATACACAGAAAAAATCATTTATACTATCGTCTAAAACTGAAGGAGATAAACATATACTGTACAGAAGGAGATCGACTTTCTTCAAAATTGAAGGAGATAAGCATTCACACTGTATTTTATTTTTTTTTTCTTTTAATAGAATTGGGCATTTTACAAGTTGTATTACAGAAAAGTGTGCAGCTTGATTTGGATCAACTTTCGAAGAAGTTATTTGCAGAACCTCATTGATTTTTTGGAGCAATTATAATCCTCCGTAAATTCAGATCGGGTTGAACTTGGGGCGGTTGGGGTTGTAGTGGTGCGATTTGGACGAGGTATCGACGAGGCGGGAAGGAGGCGTCCTCGTCGGCAGCGAGGGTGGCGAACGAGTTGTCGCCGGAGAAATTGAAGGCGGAGTCGGAGATGTGGAGATTTTGGGGGAGATTTCGGAGCTCTTTTTGCAGATTTGCAGAGATGGGGTGGTGGAGGGGTTTTTGGTTGGAGAATTCCTTTTTTGTTCCTAATTTTTAGTTAAGTATATCTTTAAAATCAATTAAACATCACCTTTCCTTTTAATGTGCAGATAACACGTTTGTAACGGTTAAATTATATTGTAGGTATAATTGAAAATATTTTAGCTTCTTTTGGTTATTTTATAAATAGTCTTTTAATAGGCCCAAAAGTGTTAAACAAATGAATTATGTTAGTGTGGGGTGTAATTTCCTCTATTATGAATACCCATTTAGGACATAGAAGACCCTCACTAGAAAGAGACATGCTCTTATTCCTAATAATTTTTTATTAAAAAAATAGTTACTTTTTTGAAAACATATTTTTTAGTTAATTATTGAAATTCATATTCTAAACTTTTTTTATCCAGATGATTTTCTCCCTTTTTATCCCGTAACGATTCACATAGTGTATACATATATAGTTAGGAGTTAGGACAATGTTACATGTACAATTGTAGTTTACAACATTTGTTGACAACTTAGTTAAAAAATCAGGAGTCGTGAGATTGTCGAAAATGAAAAATTATTTTCTGAGTGTTTTTGGACTATCAATCAAATTGAGACACAGATGTGTGTGTGTTAGGAGCATGCATAATATACACGTGGTTTATGTAAAATTGACTATTAATATTATCACAAATTCTTTGGTGAGTCATCCTAACATTAATAAACGTGTAGACCTGTCATACTTTATGTACAAAAAATACATAATTATAATATTAAATTCATATTTTGTTATACTTATAAAAATTATATCTTGTGATATTTTTTAAAAAATGTATGATATTTTCTAATGAAAGTATGACATTTTTTTAATTGTACCACCTTTAGGCTATTTGTTTATTGTCTCCACATCTTATTGTAACAATCAATTAATATACGGTTGATATTATGTTAGATATCGGTTTATCCAATATTAGATTGACATATTCTTTTTTAAAAGTGTATGCTATTGGATAATATCATACTTTAAAAATAATATTTAATAATATAAATATACATTTTGTCCATATAATATAAAATGTCGACCCCGTCTAATCTTACACAAAATATTTTGTTTAATTTAATGTCCATGTGAAGAATTTTATAATTGTTGTGCTAGAAAATGTGGTAGTTATGACAGGTACGTACTTGCAAGGACACCCTCAAATATTCAACCCCACTTGCAAAGGGTATATTTTCAAAAGCCTATCCATCACAGGAAACTAAAAGAATTAAAAAATGTTTTGTGACCAAATAACAGGTCAACCAATCAGAAAATTTCAATAATTTGCTGCTCGAGTATATTCCTGGAAATAACACTCAGTTGATTATTTGTGTACTTAATTATTAAACTACACCGTCATTAATCATATTAATTAAGAGGAAAACTCATGATGTTATTTAAGCCCACTATTTGGATAGTCTAATCGCTAGATAAATATACTTTATTATAAGAATAACAGTGTGATCGCTAGATAAATATAATTCTCAACTCATACAACTCTTTCGTGTAAAGTTTGTTCTTAAATTTTAAAATATCATAATTAATAGAGCTTTCTTGTGATTAGAGCTAATCCAATTTGTGGGGTGAAGATCTCCTTTTTGATCAGATGAACAACACAACACATGCACATGCACATGATGATATCATATATGTACACATATCATGATCGTTAAATAGAATAATCTCAATGGAACACGAAAGTGTAACAAAAGATTTTAATTAACCGAAACTTATTAGAATAAAGAGTACGATAAATTCTCACGATCTCATAAAAAGAATCAACAAATGTAATAGAACTTAAAAGTAAAAATATCAATCATATCCATAGCCCACAAAAAGAATGATACCCAAATCTTTGATCACATACATGATACATCTCCCTCCAAATATTATATTCCATATCAAGCTACATAAACCCTAAATCCTAATCCTAACATACTAACAACACAAACCATTGTGCNTCATCGGCATCACCTAAGTATCCGAATCAGAAGTCGAAGCCCCCGACATCATCATATTCTTAAACTCCCCGAAATCCAAAACCCCATCCGAATTCTCGTCGTACGCGCCAATCATGTCCTTACCGTCCTTCTTCCCGGTTTTTTGGTCCCACCAACCTAATCTCGACAAAACGCTCTCCAACTCCTCGGACGATATGTACCCGTCGCCATTCAAGTCGAACACCTTAAATGCCTCAAAAAGATCGTTTTCGTGATGATCATTAATATCGTTATTATAATCTCCTTCCCCTAATTGTTGTTTTCGTTCGGCCGTTTTGGACGACTCGACCATTGCCTCGTAGAAGAATAAGAAGTCGATGAAATTGAGGGTTTCTCGACCGACGTATTTTTCGAGCTCGTCTAGGGTCGTTCGGATGCCGACGAGCTCCAAGAGGCGGTGGAGCTCATGAGTGCTGACGTGGCCCTTGTTGTTCTTGTCAAGGTTCTTGAAAATCCTGTGTAGATCATCTGGGCTGATTGGACTTGGAGGCATGTGAAGGTTTTTTTTTTTGGTTACTTTTTATTAGATAAAGAATATAACAGAAGATTAGAAAGGAAAAATGAAATACAAATGTAAAGAAAAAATATTGCTTGAGATTTTTAGTTAGTTCGTGAATTAGTATTTGTATATAAAAGGGAATGAAAGAGTTATTTTGTAAAAGCGTGTTGGCTTACCGGTCTAAGGAAGTTTTTGATGATGGGAGTCCACTAAGGTCCGAGGAGAAATACTATTTATATATATTTGGAAGATTTCGGAGAAGGAGAGCCATAGGAGAAAATAATTATTAATCTATTTATCTGGGTTTTGCTTGGAGTTATTGGATGACACGACTTATAAAATCGTCTACAAATATTCATTATATGGGTCAATATATCAATTGTTACATGTTATAAAAAAATTTATTTCTATATATGGGTCAATATATCAATTCGTAAATAGAATTTTGTTTATTAATAGAAATTTTTAATCTATTTATCTGTTTTTCTCAATTTTACCATGGGCATATTGGGTGACACGACTTATAGAGTTACAGGCGTACAAATATACGCAAATTGTGCATTCGTGATGTCATGAAATAATTACAATCAATAGAATTTTTATTTAATTTCTTATGATGCCAGTGTAGCACGAATTATGTGTCCTAGAATAATTACTCTTAATTAATACTATGTGTGAATACATCAATTCATGGATAGAATTGATATTTACCAATTTTGCGATGAGCTATTGGACACGAATTATGTACTAATCCACAAGTATTCAACAAATGATATGTTAACATGTATTTTAAATAATTTACATTTATATTATTCATTTACTAATAGTCAAAAAAATTAAAATGTGATACACCAATTTATTTAACTTTTTAAATATTATTTACACTATGATATAACATATAAATTTTTGTTTCCTCATT